GCAAAATCAGCAAAGAAGGGCTGGGTCTCCTAAATGTTGGGGACTAGAAACGAACATGAGGCTAGGGTAGGTAGAGTCATATTATACTCAATTCAATCAGATAAAGTCTCCCACTGAAGTCAATTATGGCTCCATAGCTGGGCTATGACTCATTTGTAACAAAATCTCTCCATTGCCAGGGTGCATTTTATATTCTCATGGCCAGGTCAGAAAACAAGGAAGGAATCACAGAAGCAGAACTGGACTGGGGAGTTTAGAGACGCGGGGCTGAATCTGGCTCCAGCTCCAAACTGTTCTGTCCCACATTCCATCTTTCTGCTCCTCTTATTCTTCCCCCAACCCACCATGCTCCAACCTCCTAATCTAGTGCTCACCAACTACATACGTACACACACTCAAACAGCCGCATCTATTTAGCACTAACTATATGCCTGCGCTAAGTGCTTTAAAGTAGATCTCTAAATGTCACAACAACTTTGGGAGACAGACATTAGCACTCCCATTTTATGTATGTATTTAGATACAATTCACCCTTTTAAAGTGTATAATTCGGTCTTTTTTAGCATATTCACAAAGCTGTGCACCCATCACCACAATCTAGTTCCAGAACATTTTCATTCTCCCTAAAGAAATCCCACACCCATTAGCAGTCACTCCGCATTTTCCTCTCTCCTCATTCGCTGGCAATCACTAACATACCTACTATCTTTATGAATTCGTCTATTCTGGGCATTTCACACAGATGGAATCATACGATATATAGCATTTCATACCACTACCATTTCACATAGGAAGAAGCCAAGACAACGAGGTTGAGCAACTTGCCCAAGTCACACTGTGAAGGAGAGGCTGAACTACAACAGGAAACCCAGGTCTGATTCCAATGCTTGTGCTTGCTTTTCAACTACTATCACCGCTTCCATACAGGAAGAAAATTGAGAGAGAAAGCAAAAGTTTTCGATACGCTTGGGGTAATAAAAGTCATAGGTAAGAACCACAATTACAGGACCATCCCTGCAGAGGTTATACCGAAAAGCCAAAACAGAGCAGGGCAACTACTTTCTAGAAAGCACACCTGTCCCAGTCTCTGGCTGTTTCACCCCACAACCTGACTTCCCACCACGCAGCTGGGTAAGAAGGCAGCCCCATGAAACCAGGCTGTAAACAACCTCCTTTCTCCCCAGTTTTCTGTCTCTTCCCCAGATGTCACTCTGCCACTTAATTACCTATACCGATTTCCGTCTAAGGAGTCCAAGAAAAATGTCTATTTCAAATAAGTGCAGTAGTGCTTTTCCTCTTCTTTTAAATTCTGGCAACCAGTTTATACTAGGTGTGAAAAAAGAAGGCGAAGAATGGTGGAGAAACTAAGCTGTTTGCTAACCAAAGGCAAAAAGCTATAAAAATCTAAGAATTGTAACTCCCATAAAATGCCTATAATCTAGCCATACCTTAGCTCTCCGCCATTTTTCTGGTTTAGGTGCTGCCTATGTATATGGTTGAAGTCAGACTGTCTCTTTCTAGAGGACGGACTTCAGGTCTACCTAGTCCTTTTCATCCCTCCTCCAACAGAAACAAATAATAGGTGCACTGTAATGATGATAATTATAATTCTTTTTTCTTTTTTAGGAGAAAAGTATAGAAGGGAAAGACTGCTTCCCACTAGCCTAAGGTGAAGGCCAATGTCTTTATTTGACTCTTTGTCCCCTATACCAGATACTTAAATGTTTACTGAATAACTATGGAATAATATGACCTACCTATAATACCTACACAGCACGGTAACAGGCACTATTCTAAACATACACATTACCATATATTAACTCCCAACAACCCTAAGGGCAAGCGCTACTGTCGGAATCTCCGATTCCAGATGAGGAAACTGGCACAGCACAGTTGTGATGTGCCCAAGGTCATCCAGATACTAAGGAGTGGAAACAGGATTGAAGGAATGCAGCACAGAGGCAAGCATTCCAACTCATTCCAATGTCTTCAAACGTTTACGATATGTTACAACAGCTAAGAACTCTGTTGGATCACAAAACAAGAAAAATACTTTTCCCTCTGCTACTTTGTAACACTCCATTCTGACTTTTTTCAAAGAAGTTTTCAAAGTCTTTTTCTCATTACTTCTGAAGCTGGAAAATTAACTCATCTTCTGGAGTTTGGTGAAAAGAAGGCCAATGATTTGGGCAGCAGGGGAGGAATGGAATTAAAGAAATTTCACTTGTAATTCAGTTTACTTTGTACGGGCCAGGCACACGTACTTTTTAGTTCCTGAAACATCATGTATGTTATATACTCTCTAAACTGACTCCAATGAATACAAAACTGTCAAAATTAAGAAGAAAGCATTATTCTGGGGTCCTTCCCATCTCCTTTGTGGTTAAAAGTGATATAATAAAAATCTGGAGTTAATCGATGATCTTCAGTTGCTCAAATACTATACTACCTCCAACCTAGAAGCACACTTCACTCTGAAATGATGATTAAAACCTTCTAGAGGGGTCTCCTGGGTGGCTCAGTCAGTTAAGCATCTACCTTCCGCTCAGGTCATGATCCCAGTCTGGGATCGAGTCCCATGGCGGGCTCCTTGCTCAGCGGGAAGTCCGCTTGTCCCTCAAACGCTCCCCCCACTTGTGCGAGCTCCCTCTCTCTCTCGAATAAATAAATAAAATCTTAAAAAAAAAACAACAACACAAAACTTCTAGAGGTTTGTTAGGTTAGGAATTAACTGTTCCTTTCACTCATATGTGGAACTGAAGAAACAAAAGAAATGGGCACAGAAAAAAAAAAAGGGACAAACAAAACAGAACTTGTGGTTGCCAGAGGGGAGGTGGGTAGGGGTTGAAGTAGATAAACGGAATAAAAAAAAAATTTTGAGTGTTCCTTCTCTTAATATTCCAAGTTGCTATTCAGAAACCAACATTCACAAAAGAAAGTTGAGACAATCTCTGAGTGAACTTGACCTTGCACAGATAGCCTGTAAAAGGAGAAAACAAGAGCTAGTTGTCTTTTAAGGAGTGGTTTCTACTTTCTAACACAGTTACCTAAACAGCTGGAAAAATGGCATTCCTAAAATAGAAATAGTAAGTGCCACCTCACTAATCTTCCCTGATATCAGCTCATTTTCACCTCCAAGGACAAAACCTCCATACTGAAAGGAATGGAAGCATTTTATGGAACAAAATCAAATTGTTCCCAGTCCAGTCATCTGCACCCTACCCTGATTTTTATTTCAGATGGACAGACTCCAGAGTGTGAAGAGAATTAGTTAAATACAATATGCAAAGATTAGTTCATGATGCAGTCAACTAGAAAAGCCAATGAGGCAAAATACAAAGGGTACATCTGTCTTTCTTAACTTGGCTTTTAAAGAATAAAAACAAGACCGCGTCAAAGTGCCTTGAAAACCTCCATCTCTCTGTTTTTTTCAGTAGTGATTCTAAAATAAATAGTTGTCATAAAGTAACAGCAATAGAGGACTCTTTGAGGTAAGCTATAAGAAAAACTTGTGAGCAGAGAAGCTGCTAGAAAGCACTGCTGGGAGGAGAGGGTGAAAGTACACATTGTGAGGATCATCTCTGAAAACATTAGTCCTTCTTGCCAGTTCTGACAGCCTCCCGTAGGTAGGTCCATTTTCAGAACAGCAAATCTCTGGGCACACATGTCAAAACCACAACCCCCAAAAAGTTATCATGCCTTTCCTCCCATGTTTATTACATCCAGGCCAACTAAATGGAATAGTATCATTTAAGATCATATCAGAATCTTATTATCTTACTTTGGTCACCATTTCTGGAGTCTCAGACAAATTTAGGATATCAAACATGCAACTTTGGAAATGCAGGACCCAACACACAAACTCTGAAGAGTTGAACAATTCATTCTGTTCTGAGCCCCCTGTTCAAATGTGCTATCAGCAACTAATTTGTGCTTCCCAAAGTGTGTTTGTAGACCACTTCCAACAGAATCCCCAGCGGCATTTCACGTTTAGATTCTCAGGATCCACCCATGAGACCTACTCTATCTGTGGGGTAGAGCATGAGACATTTTTCATGCTAATTTGGTTTTAGTGCACACTTAAGTTTGAGAATCACTACATTAAACCCACTGACTTATTTGCTATGTTGGCCCCAGGGTACTTGTCCACATGGGACGCCAGTCCCTTCTCCCTTCCAATCTATTTCCTAATTAGACGCAGTACTTAACAAACCCTCCGGTTCCCCACCAAGAGCATTTGAAAATGAAGCGAGAAATTAGGAAAGATTAAAGCCCCTGCACGATTCTAAGTGCTTTAGGAACTCTAGCACATCCCAGGGAGAAGCAAGGCAATAAGTCTCAGCACCAGCACCAGCACCACCCCCACCACCGCCACCACCAAAAAACCCATCCCTTCCTCTCTAACTTCTTCACCATGAGCACGAGCAACCTCTCAGGCAACTCGCTGGCACCCATCAGACAGATATTTGCTTCAGCGACCCCAGCCCCATTGAGTACATTCCTGCTTCTTCACAGAGTTGCCTCGCGATTGGTGCAAAAACATTGCACAAAACCACACACACGCGCACAACACACACAATCCACTCCAGTTCCCTGGCCTCCTCGGGCTCCAGGGGCACCCTGCCTGCTACTCTTCCTCTGCCTGTCCACTCCTCCATCTCTAGGGGGGGCTCCGACCACAGCGGCCCACCCCCCCCACTCAGAGCCACCCTCCCGGCTCCTCGGGGGGGACCCCGGTCCCTGCGCACGGCCTGCTGACCCGGGGCCCCGGAGCCCGCTCCCGGAGTTCGGGGCGGCCCCGGGCGCCCCTCGCCCACCCCCGCCCCGAGGGATGCCCGCCCACGGCCTCGCCGACCCCACCCGCCCAGGCCCCGCGGCCCCGCCACGCTGCCCTTCTCCCACTTTCCGCCCCTTCCCGGCTTGTTTTGCAGGGACAGGGGTGCGGTCCGCCCTCCAGCTGGTCCCTCCAGCCCTGTCTCCGCCGCCGCTGCCCTCCTTACCCGCCTGCAGCCCGGGCTCGGCGACGTCGCCGGCAGGGCCGCGCTCGGCCCCGCCGCCGCCCGTGGGGGAGGAGGGACAACTGTGGCTGTGGGAGCACTTGATGTCGCGGAAGAACTTCTGGGTTTCGCGCAGGTTCTGCCGCAGCCGGTCCAGGTAGCGGCGGTAGCGGCCGAAGCCCCGGCACAGCTCGCGGATCAATCCGCCGCCGCCCGGGCCAGGACCCGAGACGGGCTCGCTCCCCCACGGCACCCCGTCGCCTTCCATCTCCTTAGCCTGCTCTGTCCGGGCGGCTCGGTCCGCGGCCCGTGGCCCCGCTTCCCTCCTCCCCGCCCCCCTCCCCACCCCAGTGCTTCGCACAGGAGGATTCCGCCTCCTGACGCCTCCGCCTGCTGTCGGCCAGGCTTCCAACCTCCGTCACCGCCGTAGGAAAATAAACCAACCCGCAGTGCGCTGCCAACGGAACCTTTGTCTCCACTCTCCGGGAGAGTGAGGGAAGGATCACTGGAACGCGCCGTCCCTCAGCGGCGTCTCCTGGGATTTGTAGTCTGGGCTGGGCGGGCTCCGAAACCTGGAGACGGTGGATGGGACTGATTCCCCATTGAACCTCGCCCGTTCTTGTGCTCACCCACTCTGCTCGTTCCAAAACGTGTTCCCGCGCCCTGCATGGAGACAGAGAGGTGGCTGCAGAATCCGGCGTCAGCAGAAGTGGGGTGTCCTACTGAAATCAAAGCAAAAGATTTCAATAGCAAACAGAAGGAAGGAAACAAGACTGAGGCCAGTAATACCTCCATGGCTACCCTACCCTAAATGGTTCTCACTTTCCCGATACAGTAGATACTGGGGAATCTGCTGAAAATTCCCTAGAAATAGGGAAACCGCTCCTGTTTGTATTGCGTCCTCTTCTGACTTTCCTTCTCCAGGTGTGGAAAAGGGGGATGTGAAAAGGTCGTTTAAGAGCTTTAAGATGAAGTTCATTGGTTTCTGGAAGTCAAGAGACTGGGCTGGGTAAGGGGAAGTTGAGGTTTGCAGCTTTTCAAACCAGTTCTGATTATCTTAATTTGGCTTCTGCTAATATAGACTTTTATTGACACAGACTTCCACGGAGCCCTGGACACAATTACGGAGGAGACAAAACTTAACAACCACCCCTTTTTCGCCTGCTGCTTTCTTTTCTCTTCTTCAGACACAGTACCCTCCTGTCTTTCTTGCTGTGGAAAAACCCCATCTTTCATCCAGGCCAGACCTCTGCTCCAACAGGCTGGATGGTGTAGTTCAACTGGATTTAAGAAGAGACTTGGGTTTGAGCCTGAATTCCTCCAATGTCTTGTCTTGGACCTAAGGGTTTGGACTAGTTGATCTTCAAGCCCTTCTGGCTCTAAAATTTTGCGAGTCTTGCTTCAAAATATTTGCTTCTGTTTCCCAACCTGTCATCCCTTGAGTGCAAGTGTTTTAGCAAAGTGATGTCATGATAATTGTGTTAATTCAACGTAAAATGTGAAGGCTTTACATTTCCAGGGGCTTTTAGGATTTTATAAAAAGGGGTCGCTGGTTCACATGAATCTCTGCTTGGTAAGTGCATGTGAAAGACTAAGGTCAGGAGGGAGCCTCTAAACTCTTTCTCATGTACTTCCTCCCTTTTACTTGCTCACATATTCTCCACTGGCCACTCCTCATTTTGCAAGACCTCCATGCAACCCCTAAAAGGCTTAGTAAAACACAAATGAAAATACAAAATGGAAAGTTTAATACAAGATGGTTGATACTATTTAAAAGAAGCAGCAGCAGGGGTGCCTGCGTGGTGTAGTTGGTTGAGCATCCAACTCTGGCTCAGGTCATGATCTTAGCGTCATGGGATTGAGCCCCATGTCGCGCTCCACCTCTCTCTCTCTCTCTCTCTGATTCTCTCTCTCCCTCTCTCTGCCCCTCCTGCTCGTGCGCTCTCTCTCTCTCTCTCTCTCTAAAATAAATAAATAAATAAATCTTGGGGCACCTGGGTGGCTCAGTTGGTTAAGCGACTGCCTTCGGCTCAGGTCATGATCCTGGAGTCCCGGGATCGAGTCCCACATCGGGCTCCCTGCTCAGCAGGGAGTCTGCTTCTACCTCTGACCCTCTTAAAAAAAGTGTTCCCTCACTCGCTGTATCTCTCTCTGTCAAATAAATAAATAAAATCTTTAAAAAAATAAAAATAAGAGAAGTAGCAGCAGCATAGCAAATCAGCGTGTGACAGTTTTACTGCACACAATCATTTCTAACAAAGGAGATCAGATGAGAGGGTACTGGGGTTGGAGTTGTCCAGAAGAGGATTTGGGAATCAATATCCATCTTCAAGAAGTAACATTTGGAAAGATGGAAGTCACCAGGGAGAGCATTATGTCAAGTAAAGGTCATGGAGCTCATTCTTTTATTTATTTATATTTTTTTTACATAAGGTCTGAACTCAGGACCCTGAGATGGAGACCTGAGCTGAGACCAAGAGTCAGATACTCAACTGACTGAGCCACCCATGTGCCCCTGCTCATTCTTTAAAAAACTATTCACTAGTACTTTATTTTTAAAATAAGTAATATAAGACTGTAGTATAAAATGTACATGCTACAAAGGTTATACAAGGGAAAACTAAGTCTTCTATTTCCTGTCTCCCAGTCACCTAGTTCTCCTCCCAGGAGGTAGCCCTGTTGCAGAAATAGGTATGTATCTTTAAACCAGAAGATAACATACTAACTCTATTCTGCCTTTACAGACTCTTCCATACCAGAACATAAAGATCTGCTTCATTCTTTTTAACTGTATAATATGCTACCATGTGGATTGGTATGTTTTATTTAACAAGTCCTCTACTGACTAGGGTGCCTGGGTGGCTCAGTTGGTTAAGCGTCTGCCTTCTGCCCAGGACCCTGGGATTGAGCCACATCAGGCTCCCAGCAGGGAGGCTGCTTCTCCCGCTTCCTGTGCCCCTCCCCCTGCTTGTGCATGCATGCTCGGGCGCTCTCTCTCTCAAATAAATAAATAAAATGTTTAAAAAAAAAAGTCCTCTACTGATGGGCCTGTAGGTTTTTTGCAGTCTTTTGCTATTACAAATAATGCTACCATAACGAACCTTCTACATATGTAATTTAAAAATTTGAGTATGTGTATGTCTCATCTTTATTTTTGCTTTGCTGAGGAAAGGGATCGGTTGTTTCCTGCTACTTAAAATCTTAAATATGCGACTGTCAGTGAACTCTTCCTAAATCACAATGAGCTACACGTAAAAACACATATTTTATTCAAATATCTAAGGACAAATGGAGGAGAATAAAGATTTGAATGGTATCAAGAGAGAACTTAAGATAGGAAAATGTTCCTCAAAAGTGATGAGAGTTAAGCAGTTAATAAGGATGAATACACAGATCTACTTTTGTTTCTTCCTACAACACCATGAAAATGACAGTAATGGGATTTTTTAAGCATGAACCCACAATAATGAGAGGAGCCATTAGGAAAAACAAAAACAAAAAAAAAGTAGAAGCTGGAAAGCAAATGGACAAGCGTTAACTAAGTTAACCTGGAGAAACCTGAACCCTAAATCCAAAGTGGATAAAGCCGAGGCCCAACCTGATTTATACCTGCCAAATCCCTCAAGTCTCCAAACTTGGTGGTGTTACCCCCCCACACACACACTACCCACCAGCGATGCCTAGGAGCCACCTACATGTTGTACCCTGGGCAGGGATTAAAATAAGAATTTCAAGAGCTGTTTAACATCTCCAGTTTACCTCCCCCTTCTTCAATGGCTGCACTCCTTCCTCTAAAAGAAAACTGAAGTATTTATTCTCCAGAGCGGGTCGAAGAGGAGTCTCTGTATAAACAGGGAGATAAGTGGATTTATGGATATTGGATGCTTAGATTCCCAGCCCTCTTCCTCCATTCAGTTCCTAGATGTCTGGCTACCAGGCGCTGACCTTCCACAGAGGAAATGTGACGTGTCTTCTTCAAGGACTCTGACCAGGCCAAAAGGAAAAGCCCAAAGATATATCAGAACAGAGATTTTTTTTTTGAACCGAGATATAATTGACATTGAAGTTTATATTAGTTTCAGGTATATAACATAATGATTCAGTATATGAATATATATTCACCATAAGTCTAGTTAACATCTATTACCATACATAAAGAATTTTTTTCTTGTCATGAGGACTTTCAAGACTTACTCTCTTAACAACTTTCAAATATGCGATACAGTAGGATTAACACCAGTCCCCATGCTGTGGGTGATGTCCCTGTGACTGATTCATTCCCTACCTGGAAGTTTGTGCCTTTTCACTCTCTTTACCTATTTTGCCCCATCCCCCTGCCCTGCCTCTGGCAACCCCCAATCCAGAACACAGATTTTTTTCCTGGCTTGTTCACTGCTCTCTCTCCAGCACCTAGATATTTGTCAAATGAATGAATGTTCACTGTAGATATTTTTAAATATTCAGGAAAGCACAAAGGAGAACATAAAAACTACTCATATTTTTACTATCCAGTAAGAACAAGTTCCTCTTGGAACTATGACAAGTTCCTCTTGGTTAGATGATTTGATTTCTAGAGAGATTCCGAAGTCTTTTTTTTTTTTAGGTTTATTTTTATATTTTTAATATTTTTTCTTTTTCTTTTTTTTTTAAGATTTTATTTATTCACTTGAGACAGAGAGAGACAGAACACACAAGCAGGGGGAGAGGCAGAGGGAGAGGGAGAAGCAAACTCCCTGCTGAGCAGGGAGTCCAATGTGGGGCTCTATCCCAGGACCTTGGTATCATGACCTGAGCCGAAGGCAGAAGCTTAACCATCTGAGCCACCCAGGCACCCCTATTTTTAATTTTTCTTAAGTAGGCTCCATGCCCAATGCCGGGCTTGAAATCATGACCCTGAGATAAGAGATCAGCTCTACCAACTGAGCCAGCCAGGTGCCCCAAGATTCTGGAGTCTTGATCCTCATGTTCATGTAGGTGGAAATCAGGTGTTTTTTTGTGGAACACCAAGGGACAGTAACATTCATTTCTGCAGTGTGAATTAGGAACAAGTTTACGAAGAGAAAGAATAACTGTTCTCTATTATGCAACATAAAATCACAATCACAAATCCAAGAATTTAGGGGGTGCCTGGCTGGCTTACCTGGTAGAGCATGCAACTCTTGATCTTGTGCTTGTGAGTTTGAGCCCCACATTGGGTGTAGAGATTACTTAAAAATAAAATCTTTTTAAAAAAAAATCCAAGAATTTATTTATTTATTTATTTATTAAAGATTTCATTTATTCATCTGATAGAGAGACACAGCGAGAGAGGGAACACAAGCAGGGGGAGTGGGAGAGGGAAAAGCAGGCTTCCTGTGAAGCAGGGAGCCCGATGCTGGGCTTGATCCCAGGACCCTGGGATCATGGCCTGAACACCTGGCAGACG